AGCCCCGGCCCCCTGCGGGGCAGCACCTCTGTGAAGCGGCCGCAGGCAGGGGACAGAGCTTTTATTCTTCTTCCCATCTTCTCATCTCCTTGTGCTCTCAGGGGACATGCCAGCAGTAACGATGCGTTACACGCGCTTGGCTGTCTCTGGTCCCTTTCTGCCTCTGCAAAAATCCACTCGCAGCTTTTAAACTAGAAGAGAAGTGTGAATAATGAGCACTGGTTTCCAAATTCACCTTTAGCCAGCTCATGCATAATTCCTGCTCTAGCGAGGTCTGGTCCAACCGTTTTTAATTTCAAGCGTACGCTAAAAGAAATCCATGGGGAACGGCTTACAAATCCTAGGCGCAAGACCTGAAACACATCATAGCGTTTCCATCCACTTAAAAGAATCCAGCCATGGCTGACTCAGCTCTTCTCTCTCTGCGGGAGATAAATTGAATTTCACGGAGATTACTGCAGAGCAGGTCTGAATTGTGGATCTCTCCCCTCTCTGGCAGGACTGCCGGAGATCCCCGGGAAGTGCTGCAAAGAGCAAGCTCTGCCCCTCCCAGGCATTCCCTCTGCCCAGGCTCCGAACATCCCCCCACCCCGGCGCTGGGGATGTTGCGCTGGCCGGAGGGATCGGCAGAGGCGGGAGGCTGCGCCCAGGGCAGGGCTGCAGGACCTCTGCTGCCAGCGCCGCTGCAGCAGTGAAATGGAGTCAGGACTGTTCACTAGTGCCCACGTACGGAGAGCTGCCATCGCTCACAGCCCACGTTTCAGGGCATCAGCTCCACAATTAAGGGACCAATATAACAGAGTTACGCTGCTTCACAGCCTCACCACGATCTTCAGAGATGCTTTAAGCCAACTTTGACACAAAGCCCAAGATGCCCCGGACATTATCCGTAAGCTGGGTGCAGCAGAAGCCTCATTCTCCTCTGTGCAGCATCCCCGGTGCTTAAGCCCACACCTGAATCACAACCTGTGGCTCCAACCTGCACCCACAGAGGCTGTAGCTTTGCAGAGCAGCAGAGAGGGGGGTCACCGCTGCCTGGCCCGGGTACATGATACCAGGCTGACGCCCCCAGCCCCTCCCCGGGCACCCAGCAGGGCTCTGAGGTGTTCAGCGCTCCCATTCCAGCACTTTCACCTGCCCCACAGCACCCACAGGGAAGGGACAAAAAAAACGGGGCAACCCGGCCAAAGTTTCGCAGAGCCAGGGTGCGGGGCAGGGCGATAGCGGGGCTGGAAGAGGGGCAGTGGGGCCAGGCGGGCGGGCGGGCGGCAGGGGGGACCCCAGCCCCGTCCTGCCGCTCCACCTGGCACGGCTCAGGGCAGGGGCGCAGCTTCTGCTCTTCGCTTGCCGTGTTTTATTTAAGCTGTTCTTACGAGGCGAGGAAAGCTACTGCAGCGGGTCGGTGATATCAGGGTGAGACCTCCCTGATCATGGCTTTACCAGCCAGGAAAGGAGGGTGCCCTCCCTTCGTCTTCCTTGCAGCGTTACCGCTTACCCCCGGCACACGCCAAAGCAGACTATGCGCCCCGCGAAGGCGAGCGCACGGCCCGCGGCGCGGCGGGCACCGGGCGGGAGCAGTACAGGAGGGTCGCCCACGGCAGACCAAGCCCTGCGCACCCCTCTGCCAGCGGCCGGGGTCTCTGCGTCTCTCCACGCTCCGGGATGCAACGCAGGGGCAGAAAACTGCAGGGTGCCTGCTCAGGGCTCAGCAGGATTCAGGCAGGTACAAACAGGCTTTCCCTTGCCAGGGGATGCTCTTTATGACATCCTACGTGGAGAAAACTGAGCGTTTCCTTAAGCAGGCGGCCCTCCCTCACACAGCCTTTGTGATCTGCCCAGGGGTGCAGCCGTGACGGGGCCCCGGTGCCACCGGGCTGCCCAGCAAGCACCCTGCCCGCCTGCTCCTCTTCCTCCTCTGGTGTCGTGCCCACGCAGACTGCAGAGCCTGCAAGAGGAGAAACAGCCAAACCCCCTTTCGGCTGCGGGGTGCGCCTCTGCCAGGCGCCCCGCCATGCCGCCCGGCCAAGGCGGCGCGACCCCCGGTG